TATAAGATCTTGGATACACTCTCCATTTAGACATACCTAATTGTTTAGCTTGTTCAAAAACCTTATCATATATTCTTGTATCTACATAGGTAAAGAATTTGGTGTTTACATGCTATGTATTCAATGTTCAAAAAAAAAAAAAAAACAAACTCAGTGCCTACTATGTGCAGGAAGTATATATACAGAGATGAAAAAAACACAACTATCAAACAAATATGAAAACTATTCCAAAACTAACAAAGACAGCTGCTGCATTTATTTTCAAAGGGTTTATGGTCTTAGACTTCAGGCAAAATGGTAGAATAGGCAGACAAGCTACACAGACCTTCTAAACAAAGAAACAAGGAACCAACTGACACAGATGCAGAAGATAATCCTAGAATCCTGAGATTCAACAGGAAAGATAAAGAAGCAGAGTAAATACTGACTAGTAAAAGAACCTGAATGAAAACAGCAAATAAGGAGATAAATGGAGCTGTAGACTATAGGCTGTCCTTAGGGCACAGCCAACTGGAATATTTGTAAGCAGTGTTCTGATCCAGACAGCAACCTAAAAGTCAGCTCTGCTTGTTAAGGAATGCATAGGAACCACATTGGTGGCTGACAACTAGAAATGTACGCTATTCCTTGTATCCTACATCCTCTTGGTGAACAGAGTTGTGGCCATCCCCCACCCCCACGCATCTTCTTGACCAGCAGGAATTCCATTCTGGTTGGGGCATGCTGCCACCAGCTACCTTCTGGGGAGGGAGGAACTGATCCAAGCACTAGGTGCCCCATTCCCAGCCACCCTTTTAGGCAGCAGGATTTTTTTTCTGAGAACAGATACCCTATACCCAGCCAGCTTTGGAGACGGCAGGAACTTTTTTTCTGAGAACGGAAACTTGCTCCCAGTTACCTTTTGAGACAGCAGGAATTTTTTTCTGGGACTAGATGCCCTGCCTACAGCTGCTTTTTGAATTGGCTAGAATTCCCTCTGGAACCACATGCCTTGTACCCAATCACTTTTTGGACTAGCAGAAACTTCTTCTGGGTCCAGGAGCCCTGCCCACAGATACTGCCTGGATCAGTAGGAAATAGTCTGAGATCAAGTGCCCTGCCCCCAGTTGCCTCATGGGCAGATAGGAACTAGCTCTGAGATCAGCCACCTTGCTTTCCAAAGCATTTTGGGCTAGCAAGAACTTTCACTGGGTCCAGGTGCCCTTCCCTAAGTACTTGGGATGGTAGACACTTAAATGCGAGTAGGGCTCCTGCAACCAGCTGCCTTTTAGGACAGTAGGAACTTTTTCTCAGATGCCCTATCCCCACCTGCATTTTGGGCAGGCAGGAATTCCTTCTGAAACCAGATGCCTTGCTCTCACCATCATTTGGGCCAGTAGGAACTTTTTCTAGGTCTAGGTACCTTGTCCCCAGATATCTTTTGGGTCAACAGGAAGTCATTTCTTCTAGGTAGGCAGAAACTAGTACTAGGATCAGGTGCACTGCTCCCCATTCCCTGCCTGGCCAGCAGAAACAGAACCTGGGTGCCCTGCCCCACACCCATCTTTTTTTTTTAATTATTTCTTCCTTCCTCCTTTCTTTCTACTTTTTTCTCTTTCCCATCTCTGGATCTTATTTTTTAAAATTTTTTTCCCTTTCCTTTGTTTTCTTCTTTTTGTTCTTTTCATCACTTCTTTTTCTTTTTGCGTTTTTCTTCTTATTTTTTTTTTTTTATTACTTTTTGCTTGCTCTCTTCTCTTATTCCAACCTCCCAAGGTATTAGTATTTTCTGTCTTTTTCTCTTTGTCCTTCTTTTGTCTTCTTTTTTTTTCTTTTTTAAATTTTTATTTACACCTATGGCTTTTTCTTTTTTTATAGTTGTTGCTGTTTGTTTATGTGGTTTTTGTTTTTTGTTCTCCTATTTTAATTTGTCCACCCTGGTGGGAAACAGCAAGTGTGCCCACATGACCCAACCACACACACACACTTCCTGCAGCCCCCCCACTAGGCGAGGGCCACCATTTGCTTTTGCACCAATTGATCAATGATAGACAGCAGCCAATACCAGACCAACTCACCCTTAACTGGTCTTCATGAACAGCTAACAGAGATTTATGCACACATTTTTATCATCTATCACACCCACAGGAGACAGGCAGTGAGTGCCTAAGTGCTGCCAAGCTAGCAAATATATCAAAACAAAATAAAACAAACAAACAGAAAAAACAGGGAGAACTATACCAACATGCAATCACCAATTATAAATAAATACAATGACATCACAATGTTTCAGAGACAAATGACCATCCCAGTTCACACAAAGAAGCAAGATAAAGTAGTACTAACAAGGGACGAGGAAAAAGAGCCAGAAAACACGAAGAAGAAGCTGCTGCTTCTTGGAACTCCCTGATAAGGAATTCAAAAGAATTATATTTAGATACCTTCAATGGATTGATAGACAGATCATGGAAGACAATAACAAAATTAAGGAAAACACAGACAAAACTCTAGAACAATTTTGGAAAATAATACAAGAACAAACTGACAAAATATATGAAAAATCAGAAACTAAACAAAATCAACAAACAGAAATCCAGAAGACTAATACTAAGACTTCAGAAATAGGTAACACATTAAAAGGGAAAGGACTAGAAATGAATCGATGGAAAACAAAATTAGTGACTTTTGAACACAAATCTCTCAATGCTACTTTAGTGAAGAGATCAATTAGAAAAAAGAGCATAACAAAATAAAGAAGATTCATATGCAACACTACCAGGAGGAATAATCTACGTGTGATCAAATTCCACAACAGGCAGAGACAAATAAAACCACAGAGAAAATTTTCAAAGATTTGTTGGATGAGACCTCCCTAATGTGATGAAAGATGAGAAGATATCCATTCAAGAAGTTCAGTGAACTCCAAACAGGATAGACCCTAAGAGAAAATCATCAAGATATGCCATAATCAAACTTAACAAAACCAAACATAAAGAAAGAATCCTGAAAGCAGCATGGGAAAAATGAAAAATGACCTACAAAGGGCAACCATTAAGACTAAGCTCTGATTTCTCAGCACAAACCATGCAGACAAGAAAGCAATGTGGGAGGGCATATATAAAACCTTGAAAGAAAAAATTTGCCAACCAAGAACTTTATACCCTGCAAAATCATCTTTTAAATATGATGGTAAAATCAGGACATTTCCAGATGAACAGAAATCAAGGGAATTTGTTAAAACCAGACCAACCTTACAAGAGATGCTAAAGGGAGTCCTTTGGACAGAGAACCAACAACAGCAAACAACCAATGATAAACACACATGACAACATAACCCAGAAACCAACCAGTTATAGAAGTATCTACAGTAAAATAAACTTACAAGACTATAAATAGGGAAGCAGAGACATCAGTTGGTAAATGAAAACAACTACAAATCAAAAAAAGGGAGAATACATAGGGTAGGTACAGAACTTCCAAATGGAGAGTAAGTCAAAACAATTGCAAGATAAAACAGACTGTTCTAAACTGGGGAAAAAAATAATAAATCACAGGGTAACCGCAAAGAAAATTAATAAACCTTCTTGTCAAAATAAAAAAGAGAGGCACAGATATTGAGCAAATACTAAAACAATACCAATGAAGGAAATGATAATAAAATTCATAAACAAAATGAGCTCAGCACAGAAAACCAATCCTACTCAAACTATTCCAGAACATGGAAAAGGATGGAATCCTCCCAAATTCATTTAATGAAGCAAGCAGAAAACTGACATGAAAACCAGGCAAAGACATCACTAGAAAGGAAAAATACAGACCAGTATCTCATGAATATAGACACAAAAATCTCAACTAATTCCTAGCCAATAGATTCCAACAACATATCAAAAAAATACTACTTTATGACCAAGTAGGATTCATACCAATTATGCAAAGATGGTTCAACATTAGAAAAACAATCAATGTAATCCATCACAAAAATAAAAATAAATTAAAAGAACCACATGATCATATCAATTGATGAAGAAAATGCATTTGATAAAATCTAACACCCATTCCTGATAAAAACTCTCAGAAAATAAAAGGAAATTCCTCAACATAATA